AAAAGTGGAGCCCGCTGGCCAGTAGCTAAGGCTTAGACACTGTGACAAGTGCTTGAGAGCATACGCACATGCTTCAATGGGAAGACTGTGAAGCAAAGTTGTGGGAGAGAGCGCCGCAATGTACCTCGAAAGGTGTTGGGTGTATAGAGTGTAAAAGATTTCGGTCCAGCAGCACGGCAGCAGATTTGCTCCGGCGATTGGCGTGCAAGCACTATGGCACTTGCAATGGTGGGACGCGTCGAAAGTTGAAGGCCCGAGACACTAAGCCCCTGTACTCGACAGGGGTCTAGATATCCTGGAAGTTAGCTGCATTAATTTGTTTGATGCCGCAGCGCAAGCCAAGCCAAGACAAACGTTCACGCGGACAGAAACCTACCTGAGGTGGTCTTCAACGACTTGGAACTCGACGGTGCGCTCAAGGCTTGGGGCCTCTCTGACTGCCAGCACGCTCCTGTAGTTGGGCTTCTATACCCAAGGCCCATGGCTCATGAAGCCCCTTGAATCTGAAGTGGAAGGCTGAGTCTGTGTAGTATGAAAATTTCCAGACACAAGCAATCCAATTGGAGTAGACTGAGTAGACGGTCCTGCTTCAGGCCTTCTAAGTCTTCTAAGTGTTCTACATAGCTAATAATCTCTGGTGGGGCCGCTACTCATAGAGGCCTTGTTTGCAATAGTAGCTAAGTAGCAGGCTGCTACCTGAACATAAGGACCATTAGATGATGACTCGCACAAGGCAGTACAATTGCAAGTCCCATCAACTTTGTTCCTTCATATCCCTTCTACCAACGTAACATATTTCACCTCAAAGCGCCATGGCTTATGGGGATCAGTCATGCCCAAACATCGGCCCCTGAAAGGTAGCTTCCAACGGTGAGTTGGCAAGCAAATCCGTCAAGATGCTCAGCTGAAGCAGGAATCCTTAGGACTTGGCATCAAGTTGGAGCTTACTGGCGATTAGTAGGGGATTTATTAATTATATAGGGGCTATATAGGGGTTATATGCCCTTACCTAGCCCCCAGTAAGTGAGGAATACAAATTAAGTTGCTTTGATGATAAGAACAGAATGGAAAACAAGCACGCGAAGCGAAACGGAAACCGGAGTTGCATGGAGCCTGTTTTTATGCGTGGAATTATGTGTCGTGTTTTTATGTTGACATGCACTTAATGACGCTCAAGCCTAACTCATGACCATAGAAACTTCTTGGGTCTTTCAAGACCCGGAAGGCTGTGTTTCTAGCTAGCTGCTCTGCTCTTGCTCTGGAGGACGCCTGAAGGGGGGTTGGATCCCTAAAAATCCCTGACGTTGAGGCTTCTGCGGCTGTCTGCTCTTACCAATCCAGTTTGAAGGGTTTAAAATTTAGGGTTTAGGGTTACGCCCCTGCGTGGATTTGATCAGGTCGCATCTCACCCCTTCTTGCAAAAGCACAGCTTGTTTTAGTTTGTTGCGGATCTCTGACGGCCCCTTTGTGAAAGACTAAGTATAAACCCTGAAATTTCTTAAACGGAAGACCCCGCCTCCACCCCTAGGTATAGATCCCTTTGCTTTGTGTGTACGACAGCTGCGCTGGTCAGGGTTCTTGGTAGGACAGTAAGATATAACTTGCAGGTTGGAAGACACGTCCCCAACACATTCCTGAACAAGGGTTCGGGATGATATACGTCTAGATTAAGGACCCCAGTCTATGGGAACTTCCGCATGTCGTTGCTATAGTAAGGCAACGTTCCTCCTGGGTTTCAAAACACGGGACCGTGTAAACTATTACTCTGCAGAAGACCACTCAGGAACGCGGGCACTGCGTATCCTGGATGTATTCATGAAGTCTAGGGTTTGGAATTGAGGGTTGAAGACTTGGTGTCCGTTCCTTTCATGCACTCCACTTTAAAAGGTCGGGCAAACAAGTTTTGGCGTCACTGGACTGTGTTCAGGTTCTGTTTTCAGGTTTTAAGGTCAGGTATTACTGGCTCTATGTGTAAAGGGATAGAGGGTCCAGGACGAGCTGCCCTTTTCCTGTTAAAGATAGATTCAGGCTCAGCCAGGTGTTGTAAACCTTGTTCAGCTCAAAAGTCCTTTGCTCGCTTCGAAGTTGAAATCTTGGGTAAACCTATCTAGTAGAGTCTTGCGACGCCTTCCTGTGCAAGCATGTGAGTTACTGTTCAAAACTGTGATTTCAAAAGGCAAAACGGCAAAACCCTAAGTCTCTGCAAGACATTCTGACTATAGCTCAAGCCCTATTGAATCCTCTGAAAACTAACTCTGCAAGACAGACCCTTGCTTGCATAGCCCCCCAAAACCCAAGGTTTGGCCTCAAAACTCTCTGAGAAACACAGGAGCTTTCAGAAGTTGCGGGGGCCCCGATAGACCCACACCCGGTATACTACCATCCCTATACCAAACACGCCAAACAGGCAGGAAGCCCCCATATGAGGGTTTCCCAACATGAGGGGTACCTTTTTTGGGGGTCCTTCTAAAAAGGATTAGTATTTTGGGGTCCATATTGGGGTCCCCCTATTTAGGGAAAGCGCCATATTCGTTGACTTCGGATTTCTAGCTGAACTGGACTACGACTTAAGGTTGGCTGCCATCGCGGAGGGTGAGCTCAAAGCCCAGGCGCGCGAAAGTGGTTTTTCTGGGCTTGCTGGGCTTTACCACAAACTAGGGGTCCCGTTAAGGGATACATAGGTTTCAGGGAGGTTTGTGGATAGGGCTTCTAGAACTCTAGGGGTCCCGTGCACATATGGGGGGTGGGAGTTAGCTTTTTGTGCGCGTCCATCTTGTGTCACAAGCGCTTCTGGCCTCAGCCCTGCCAGCAGGAGCTATCAAGTAGGCACCGACCTTTCGGGTCTTAAGACCTAAACTAATGAAGGACAACTGTCATCTCGCGCGGCGCTGATAGCTGGAAACGAAGATTGCAAAATGCACGGTCGCAGGTTACTCATCTCTGCCAACATGGCGTTCGACTTTCTTTCTTCCGTTTACAGTAGTGGCATTTCCAAACACTGCGGATTTGCTGCTGCAGGGGGGCCCTAAACACGAAACCAGAAACCAGAACCTTTTCTTGATAAATTTTTAAGCCCTCAATTAACCCTCAAACCTTAAACCCCAAACCCGATCTTCAAAAACTCCACCATCTCATGGCAGCCAGCCAGGAGCCATCCCTGCAGATCAGAGGCTACCAGCGGGTCGTGGAGGGCGTAGAGGAGGCGTAGGTGCTCCTAACTTGAAGAACCATACCCCTCTAGGCGGGTAAATCTCAAATTATAGGCACAAAACTATAACAGTCTCTTGCAGATAAGACGTCTCTTGGTAGAACTTAGCCCTACTACTAATACTGAAGATACCGATCATGGGGTGTGGGTGTTGAAGAGATAGGTGGATGGATTACTTCGTGGTCCCTTCAAATGGCTTGAAACGGAAAGCACGATGTAGAAATCTGAATGACACGAAGTTTATAAGCTTATCGTACTTCCAATATATAGTATGATATACGGAAAAACCGCAGATGCCCCCGTCCTCGTAGCACTTGAGCACTGGTACCACTTGCTCTGGCTCCCTTGAGGACCCCCTCTCTCAAACGTGCGAAACAAGCCCTGATAATGTGGTATGATAGGGGCCGTGATTTTGCATGAGCCAATGTTACGGTCTCTAAGCAGGCGGCAGGCACATTATTTGCCAGAATCGGTCCAGACATTTGCTGGAAGTACTGGCAGTGGCTACGAAGAAAGAGGCAATCTTCGCCAAAAGCGGCAAACAGCCAAGAACTCTTTTGGGCATGAGTAGATACCCCTCATGGGCCTCCTGACCAGATGACGCTGGCGGGACATCGATTTAAAGATACTCGCGATGTACTCTTGACGGGGGAATTGCTGCATGAAGCCCGTACTAAAATTGTATCAGGCGAGGCAGGTAAGCACCGGAGGAGCAGGGAAATCATGCAGTATTTGTTCCCCTCATAGCGGCGCGGTCGCAAAGCCATTTTGCAGAAGATTGTTTAATTGCTTGGCATTTGCGACTGATGGACAGGAAGCAATTGGGCCACCAGGAAGACACGACGACCTCAGTGGAATCCCCTTAGTCCTCGTAGAACAGGATATCTAGGGATATGCCGAAGTAGGTAAGAGCTTCAACTTTCTCAACTTCAGAGAACCGATCTGAAAGGGATCCTGTGATATCTTCATCAGTCGGAGGACCAGGCAAGAAGGGCATAAGCTGGCACACAAGAGATTCTCCTGCAGCTAGTTTTGTTGACGTGTAGCCCGCAAACTTCGTAGCCCGTCTTCCTGGTTGCCTAAGCATGCCAGCAACCTATGTTGAAGAGCGCAAAATACATGTTCAAACAGCCGAATGAACACCGTACTGGAGATGGGCAGGCATCAGTTAGTGTCTGTAGCGATACTTTACCCAAAGCGCGGCTCATGCACAGCTGCGCGGGCAGACCAACAGGAAGGGAAGCTGATTTTCAAGCATAAACCCTTTGAGGCGCTGAGCAGGCAACTATGGATTTGTTCGAGCAACTATTCAAGCTGGCCATAAAATGCATCCAGTCATAAAAAAGGCCAGATTTTTGGGAAGCTCCCTGCTGAAGCACTTTTGTTCATTCGGCGCCGACACTGCGCTAGAGACGTTGCCTTGCCAAAGAGGCGTGGAGGACCTGCAAGCAGACAGAAAAAGGTGTATCTTACGGGTGCTTCAGGCAAAGCGTGGGAGTGGACCCCTATAAGGGTTTGGGGGTTAAGGGTAGCATTCCTGTACGGTCCCCTATACTGGTACCTATACTCCCTCTCCCCAGTTGCCCTGAAGCACGCAAAGAGTAGGACTCTACAATGTGTATTGTGAGAGGCCTTGTAGTTGTGAGAAATCTTGAGATGGCTCTGGGGCACGGAGCTTCAGGTTTACTAGTTTTAGTAGGTCCAAGATAGAAATCAAAACTTCATTCGTGTAAACCATGTATGTACCCAGGACGCGACATGTCCTAGGCCCCATGACCCCACCAAACGAGAGGAGCTGCTGTACATGGCAGCAGAGCGCTTTCTTGCCAGGGGCTTGGGCACGCTATTGTGTTGGTGTGTTGGTGGTTCAGGGTCTGGAGTATTCAGGATCTGAGGCCAAGGGCTTTCAAGTTGGGGTTTTGGGGTATGGTGGTGTATTTGAGGCGCTAGAGTCAAGGATTCAGGGGTCACGCGTAGTGGAGTGAGAGGCTGAAGGACCTTAGAGTGCCAAACAGATCCGCAAGATGGATCAACAATGATTTTTAGGCTGGTGCACGGCATTTTAGTTCGTACACCGGAATCCCCCCAAATATGTGTAGCAATAAGGATCGCATGGATTGATGTGAGAGGAACTCTTTGGAAGGTTAGAAGCATTCAGCATGATGGAAGACGAGCTCAGTGAGGCATTGGGTCATGAATTTTGGAGTCAAGGATTACGCGTTTAGGCTTTCAGGGTTTATGATTGGGAGATGAGGTTCCTTCGACCCAACCAAGAGCCCTGACACGCAAGTGCACTATTGCAGGGTTCAAAAGCGCTGGGAACCAGCATCGGTTTCATCTCGGATACATCCTACACCTATCACCTGTCCCGCGCCGACAACATGTTTCGCAAGACCATGGGCCTTTGAACCGTTTCCCAGCCCTCGGACTCTGCGCCCGTCAAACCTGAACCATGAAGCAGTTGTACGTTCCAGAACCACTGACCAAGAGTGTTCAGGGATTGCGCAACTGACCACGATCAAGTGTATGCATGTGTGGCCTCTAGATTCGAAGGAGATTCACTCGCGCGTGCGGGCACCTATCCTCGCGAAGAACATTGCCCGGGTCATGTGGGCGAGCATCTCAGACAAGCGTAGGGTCCTAGCCGATTGCCACGGGTGCTGAGCTTCATGTCATGAGGGTATTCTGTCCTGGCATGGAAAACCGCTATACATCTCCACCCCTCTTTCTGGAATTCTACAGGGTCGCGATTTCGTTTAGATTAGGCAGCATGCGCAGCCTACACTACATTCCGAACGTTGCATAAGGAGACCTAGCGTACTCCATATTGCTGGAGATGGCGTTCCACTATGTCTTTAGGTTGGGTACTGCCCCCACTCTGTGACAGTTGGATAATATTGAAGAAATCTTCCTATACAGCTTTCATATTTGACCTCTAATATAGGTTGTTACAGGGTAGGGGCAGTACCCAAGCTTTAGGGCTCCCAAAGCTACATCATCAACGCCTCTTCGCCTTAAATTCCTCACAGAACTGGTTTAGCATGTAGGGCTTAGGGTTTAGGGCTTAGGGTTTAGGGCTTAGGGCTTAGGGTTTAGGGCTTAGGGTTTCGGGCTGAGGGCTTAGGGTTTAGGGTAAAGGGCTTATACAAAAAGCGGAGAACTGCTTTTCGCTCCCAGGCTAGTGGGAATCCTAGCTTGACAAGCGTCACGAGCTCAATCCCAACCTAAACTGGATTGCTATTAAGGAACCTTTTAAGTTACTATATGTGGAAACCCTATTACTGACTATCTACCCATAACATGGTAGTTTAATTGAGGCTCCATAACAGCAAGCCAGTGAACCCTCACTTGGGGGCTCAGGCCTTCGCGAAGTTTGACTATCGGCACACGCGGCGGGAGACCCATGGTCATGCACGGCTTAGGAAGAACCACTTCCCCTGTTCACAGACTGCCTGCATAATGGAGTAAGACCTTGTAATGAGGACAGTGGGGGTGTCTATCTTTTATACTTAGGGGAAGGGGATGGGAAGGGATGGGTGGGATTCGGGTAGGGATTAGAGGGTCTGAGGCCTTGGCTTTACTTTCTTCACCTTTGAAAGTGTAGGCCCGTAAGGAGTGTTCAGAAGGACAGGGACACTAATTTTTGCCACTGCTTTTAAGACATGTAAGCGGGTCGAGCGGAAGCTTGTTTAGACTAGCTCATGGCCATCAGGGTGTATGCTCGGGGAGTGGGTTTTGGTTTCATACATGTATCAATAGATGCAATGAGCTGGGCTGCCTGCGTGTTTACTTGCATCTCTTCGGCTATTACTGGCACGTGTACAGTGTCTGAGTGAAGGGGCAGCCAGTGTCTGTTAGGCTCTTTGTGTCTATTTGCTGTTCCTTCCTTGGCCCTTGTTGAGAAGACTCCCTCCTTTCAGACAAGCCGCCGCTTCCTTCTGCATCAGCCTTAATTAAAGTTAATAAAGGGAGAACTTAGGGTGTGTAGTACAAGCGTGGGTAGTAGGGGAACGTATGATTTGTATTTTTTGTATAAGGCAATCTCAAGAAGCTTGCGAGAGATGCCTTCAGACCTTATGTGGATATTTGGAATTTAAAGCAACGGCTGAAAGAAAGAGTACGTATTCTTGAGGGATCTAGGGTTTTAGGGGTAGAGCAGCCAAAAAAAAGGGTAGAGCAGTTGCGAGAGCTTCGTTCGTAATTGTTGGCATTGGCACTGCAAAGCTCAGGACGTTCCTTGGAGCCTTTGTATTCGAACAACTTAGTTGTGGTTACTACATAGCCTTGTTCCTTAATTTGCTTTACAGCCCCTGACGGCATAGGAACATGAATGCAACTTTCCAATCCCTGAAAGCCCTAGAGCCTAAACTCTGAGGCTCAACAAGGCGTTCATTGCGCGGTTGGCACCCGAGAGGCACGTCATCAGGCTGGATTCGGCTGGATTGGGAGTTTGCCCAAAATTAGAGCTACCTTTTTGAGGGGTTTTTGGGGTCCCCATAATTTATGAGGACTACGGTGTGTCTGTACTGGGGTCCCTTTATTTCGGGAAGCTACCGTTTGGGGGCCTGCCCATTTCCACACACTTCACGCAGCATGTGCAGTGTACAGCGGTGGCTGAAGGTTGAGATTGCCAAGTGTGGCAGGTAATGTCTAGGCCTGAATCATTGCATACCAACATGTTGGTCCTAGAATCCTTGTCATTATAATCATGGTATAGGGCACCTCAAAGTAGACCGCAACTTGATATCAGTAATATGTTGGGCCCCTACACTACATAATCTCTATAATCTCCTATGTAAGCCCAGTTTGCATTTCATTGCCCATGTTCTTTTCCACGTTGGTTCTCCTTATGGTATGCTGGGTTCCCTGAACGCTCCTATGAGCTGACGGCTCCGGAGTCTCCTAGAGCGGGATGGGTAGTACGAATTATATTCTCCTTAAGTAGATAGAAAATGGTAGTTTCCCAAAATTAGGTGTACCATTTTGGGGGTCCCCATAATAAGGACTGTAGTATTTTGGGGTCCATATTGGGGTCCCCTCATTTTGGGAAACTACCATATGGCTTTGGTTGTATTATAATAAGACGTCCATATACCAAATATTCTATCTACCTAAGGGTGACTATAGGGTTTGGAGTTTTACGGGGGGGAATGGCGTTAGGGTTTGGGGGATCTTGTCACAGTGGAAAGATTACGCCCAGCCTTCACCCAGATCCTTTGGAGAGGATGAAACGGCAGAGACCCAACTTGAGTAGCCTTAACCCCTAAACCCCTATACCCTAAGCCCCTTAACCCTCAAACTTAAACCCTAAAGTACCTAAACCCTAAACACCCATTGGGCAATTAGTTTGTAGGAGCCCTTAGGAGGATCATCTCTCTAGCATCAGGGATCTGATGTTCGTGGCACTTTTTTGGGGCTTCCGCTGATGCTTTTGATGTTGGGTGTGAGCTACTGTCAGCCAAATCGTTCAAAACAACACCCTGAACATCCTAAAGCGCAATCGCCTTACAGAAGAAGGCTTGCTCTTGCTTCGGGGTGTTCAAGCAATGGGCATTCTCGCATTACCCCCAACAGCTCTGCCAGAATCCTTGTGTAATCCGCCAAGATCCCTACTCTGCCTAAGCCCAGCATGTCGAATCCGAATCCAGCCAAGAGCTTCAATGCTTGGGAAAGTTGTACCCCTGTCAGAACCCACATGTCGCGACACGAGTGTGCCCCCAATCCTATGGAGCGAATCCTCATAGCCAGGTTTCTCATGCCCGATCAGCTTCACGTTTTGTCCTCAGTTCATCCGTTCATGGGCGGGTTTAGGGGGTTTAGAGTTGGGATGGTTAAGCAAGCACGGACCAAGATCACGCAAAAAGCAATGAGATTTTCGCGGATAGGAAACGGGAAGCTAGACAGGCCGCCATGTGCCCAGAACCTTTCTGGGCAAAATTTGCTCATTCCAAGTGTGGAACTTCTGATGTATAGTTTTTTTCTTTCGGTGGTTCTACTTTCCAGTGAGCTTGCACAGGCCAAGAAAAACTAACTCCCTGAGAGCATCTGGAGTATCCAGACCCTTTTGATGAGCCATCTTTGCACATCATGAGGGCTTGGTGGAGCATATCTAGGCTCGGCCCGTACAGCTCCAGGTATGCGGCGAGGGGAGATGATCTCAAGGGAAACAGCTGTGGGTTCTGGTTTTAGTCAGTGCGATTGGTCTTTATTGGGGGCGTGAGAAGTGCCAAGGCCAGGCTAAATTACCTTCTATTGGAACCTCTCAAATTTGGACTCTTTCGCAACTAAACCCCCAAAATATGTAAAATCATAGACCTAAACCCCAAATATCAGCCATAAAGGCCATTAGTTTACATACTTTGGGGTCCAGGAATTGTTTAAAGCCCATGATGCCGCCATGTCGTATTTGCGTGTGTTCGGAAGTCCCGAGAAAGAGCTGCGAGATTTCGGGGCCAGGCGAACTTGAGATGGGGCTTTCCTAAAATTAGGGGTACCTGTTTTGGGGTCCCCCATGATAAGGATTATAGTATATCAGGGTCTATATTGGGGTCGGAAATTTTTGGGAAACTACCAGATCGCTCAGGATAGGGTGGAGATTGCACGGGGCTACACGCGGCACTTGGTTTCCTTTCATATCCTTTTTATGCCTGGTTGATAGATAGGTCCAGGGGGGGCTTCTAAGCAGGAGAACTAGAGGTAGTTCCTCATTTAGGACGCTTACAGCCCCGTTTAGAACAACCATGACCCTTCGAGTCCTTGTTGTAACCCTAATCGCTTAGTAGTTGCCGCTGAACCTCACCCTCTCTGAGACCTTTACTCACGCTATTCATATGCAAGCTTGTTCAATCCTCTTGCATTCCTTGCAACACCTGTTATAGCTAGCCATGAACTTTGAAATGGATGAGGTGATGGCTTCCCCGTAACTTCAAAATCCTCCGCCCCTTTATCCTAAACATTCCCCATGTATTCTTGTATTCTGGTATACAAGGGAGTATTTGATATAGGGGGGGGGGTGCGGGGCCGTAAACCCTTTTAGGGGAGGGGATTTAATTTTCTCATACCTGAGGCAATGCTCTGGGCAATAGAGAAGCTCATTCCGGATGTCGACAGGTCGGACGAATTGGGGCTGAAAGTTTTCCTGGAAGTTACCTGAATATAAATGTTCTTTTGTGTTATCTGTAGTCCCATAACTCATCGCCAGCCAAATTTCTACCAGGGGTCCAAGGGCCTTCGAGTTCTAGGGTTCGGAATACTGGAGAGTGAAGTGGAAAGAAAATGGGGAATTGAATGGAAACTGGGAGTATCTGGGGGCTTCTTAGAGTGCAGGGGTGGGGGGTGAGCCCTCACGAATGGGTGGAAGTGACCGACCCACAGCGAAATGCAAATCGCAGCCAGCATACCCCCGCTCCCTCGCCCCCTACCCTGGGCTGGAAAGGCTCCAGTATCCCTGCGGAGGCCCAAATCACGAGCCTCAAGAGGCTCCAGAGGACATTCCAAGCCACCTTGCTGCCTAGCCTCAGGGTATCAAGTTGATAGCTTGCTAGCCTCAGGGTATCAACTTGATAGTTGAACCTGCCTCTGTGAGCCTCAAGCGGACTCTGCGGTCCTGGCCCACTTCATCCGAATCTCCTTTCAGTGCTGCTCCAACCTTTGCTCTGTGTCCAAGGATCTCGTTCAGTTGCGCTCTTCCCAAATCCAGGTCTTTTCGTTGCCGGCCAAAGCACCGTGTGTCAATTTGCATTGGACACCCAACAAGAGCCCTTGATGCCGAGAGCAGCCCATTTCAAAATGTTGGGGTTTAGGGTGTATTGTTTAATGTGTGGGCATTTCCTACTGTCATAAGCGTCTTCCATGTCCTGCTGCAGAACATAGGTGTGCTAAATGCCATGGTTGAAGGGTTAGGAAGGAAACATGGACCCAGATGGTTAGAAAGGTTTCAGAAGAGATCCTTCCCCCAACCTGCCTTCATCCAGCCTGTTCAGAGGTTCTTGGGTGGGTGGTCTATGGTTGTAGGGTGCCTGGTTTCGAAGAGGGTTTTAGTTTTGACTGGGAAAGCAGAGCACGCTCGCAGTACATCTGCGGCCTTCCCAAGCTTGGAATCCAATCCGGAAACACCACACCCCTAGCCACTCATGCTAGCCCATCTCTGCGCGCAAGGAAGGGACCCGGTTTAGTGTTTAGCGTTGGTGGGACAGGGTCGGCTTTGCCCAGACATGAAGGTCAACGTTGCAGGTTGGGCATGCGAAAAGAGAAGAATGGAGCTACCTGAAAACCCACAGCGCCCGGTAGTTTACTTTGATTCAGCCTCTGAGTTCTGGAGCCCGATGCTACAGCAACAAATCCCCAAAACTCAGGACTTCCCCCAAATCTCCCAACCTACAAGGCCGAAACCCCAGAACCCTAAATTGAAACCACCTGCTTTGGATTGCAGTGCGGAGACGAAGAGAAACCTCGAGTCAAAGGTCAAGGCCTTCATCAAGATGAGGTCGCTGGGGTCAAGGGTTGGGGCATGGTGTGGCAGGGTGTGATCGCAAATTAGATGTCTCTTATCATTGCTGTTCACTCTACTACCGGCGTTCGTACTCTTGTGAGAAGGCTGCTTGGCAGTTGCTTTAAAAGCCAGGGCGTAAACAAATCCTTATAATCGTGGAAGAAGCTTGCAGATGTACATCAAGCCACGAGGCACAATCCGGCATGGATAGAAACCCATTGCAGGTGCCTAGCCCCAAGAAGGTAGTTTAGTATCAGGTCTCTTCCAAGCTATCAGGAGAAAATTACGGAAATTACCCTCCCTGCCACCTGTATTGAGGTGCCGCCGCTGGAGCCAGTAATTAGCTTTAGTGCAAGTGCCTGAACCATTGCGATGGCGTTTCGGGATGCATTCTACTGGAAATTAGGGAAGGATTGCTGGGCATTGGCATTGGCAACTTGATCGCTAAACACTGAATCCTACACCTACACTATTTAGATCTGCCTCTTGAGCTGAGTAGCAGGACCCGACCCAGAAAGCTTAGGCATTGCTGGGCCAACATCCAAAATTATTTCCTTCAAAGGCAGGCTCGCACGATGAATCCCATTATCAGTTCTCAAAACGGCGCAGTAGACAAGTCAGAGCAACCTGGCAGGACTATACCTACCCCATCATTTGCTGAGCTTTCCCAGCAGATGTAGGAGGTTCTCGAAATACACCCCATGGGGCCCTCATAATCCTCGTATCATCCCTATATATCCCTGGGGTCCCTAAGAGTTCCCCCCTGTTAGAGTAAATTCTCACGTATCTCTAAATGCTGCGCCAGGTACAAGCATGGCACCTTGGCCTGTGAGACGGGTCTAAACTCGGGTTAAGAGTTTAGGATTTACGGCCTTAAACCCTACCCTGCCGGGAGGCTCGTGGGACCCACTAACTTCTTTTAAGTGGGGTTCAGGCCCGACTTATAACTTGCATGCCCTCTCCTTGGCCTTCTGGGCAGCTTGGAAGTAGCTACTACGTGTCCCATGAGCCTCCAAGTACCCCTAAAAATGGGCCATATAGCGCTATATTATATAGGAGAATCAACAGAAAATTGAAGCTACCAAAATGGAAATTACCACAGCATGATTTAGGGAAAGAGGAGCCTAGCTTGGGATTCCTTAAGGGTCCAGCTACCAAAATATTAGAGTTTTTGGGTACCAACAATCATTCAGATTCTAGTATTTGCGACCTACAGACCATTTGGGTACTTGCGCCCAACAAGAGGGATCAACTCGCTCATGTCTGTATTGGTGACCTGCAGTTTTGGAATCGCATCATTTTTGGTTACCACGTGCAATCCTTCAGGCTGTCAAATTCAGAGGTTCTAGGGCTTCGATGCTTGCTGTGTTATGGCAGAAGGTCATGCAATCCACTTTTGCCGACTTTCGAGAATTTGGGGTGGTGCGAATGTTCTGGTTTCACACAAATCTATATCAGATCACGGCAACCAAGGTTTCAGGTTTTGAACCCACGCCCTGAACCCTACTTTGACCCCAGAGTAGGCTAATGTAGAATGCCTAGTTGAAAGCTCCAAAGTAACCTGAAACCCTATAAACCCTAAACTCTGAAAAGCAGGTTGTCCTACCCCTAAGTCATCCCAGGGTCCCACAAAGAAAGGCATGGTTCTTGAGCAGCATCACCTACAAATTCCCAAGCCTTTGAGTAGGCAGCGCCAAACTCTAATGTGGGAGTTTCTCAAAAGGAGAAGGGGAGGGCTTTAGGGACAAGAGGAATTTATGAGACTCGGATTAAGATGATTGGAGGGTCCTTTTAGAGACTAAATGAGGAGGTCCCTATGTTGGAAAGGTGTTTGCTTTGAAAAAATGTGAGTCCTCTTATTGGTGTCCAGAGAATGAGGTGCAGAACAAGGCAACCCCAGATTATAGCAAGCTCAAGCTACTGGGAACATAGGGCTTTAATTCAGGGTTCTTCATTGCTTCAGTTTACCCAGTTTGGAATCCCTTGTCATTTCCATTTCTGGTACATGTAGCCCTCCGCCCCACCCTTCATTATCTTACTGAGGTTAGTAAGGAATTGGTTAATAGGGAATAAGGGAGTATATTCCCTAATTCCCTATTAACCACCAGGTAAGTTGTTAATTGGGGGGGTGCTCGCCCTCAACCCTTAACCCTAAACCCTCAACCCTAAACCCTCAACCCTAAACCCTATCCCCAGGTTTGGAACGAGTTGTGGACCGCTACGGCGACGAGCGTGTCCACAAAGTGACTGTAGGGCAGCGCTGTCCCGATTCAGCTGAAGCTTCAGAGCATGAGCCATAGTCTAAACTCCTTAAAGGGGGGTTATATATAGGGACATTTATAGGGGACTACTATACGGGATATTAAGGGGGATACTAGGAGTTTAGACTATAGCTCATGTGGATCTTCATTGCGACCTTGATAGCTGTCGGGGTTCTACAACAAACACGAAGTCATTGTGCAAGAAGCGGTCTGGCTTCTTCCTAGATTAAGAAGGACTAGGGTATAGTAGGATGTATGCTCTTTGGGTGACAATTTTCATTTTGGGAGTCGGCATGTAATCCTAAGAGAGAGTCAGGGTCTCCACCATTTAGGGTGGTACTTCATGGGAAATACAATTCTATCCCCTATCAATAACCTGCTCAACCATCCCTACCTCAAATATGCCCGGCCACAGTAGTACCATTGTAGAATAAGTGGATATTGATTATTGGGATGGCGGTGACCAGTAGTTGGAGCATAGCAGTCATCGTAAAGCAGGTAACATCCAATGGAAATTGCTATCCAGACCCTGACACAACTGGTTTTATCTCCTTTTTTGATGTTCGACAGGGGGATCTGAAATGCGGACCCTTACAGATCATGGTAGTCAATGCCGGGGCTACGTAGCAAACTCTGACGGACATGTGGGATTACGGGTCTCCACCAAAAATCCACCCAAATAAATCCTCAACAATCTCTGAAATTTGAACCTTATCCCAGCATGATGGCGTTGCCAGGCGAATTGAGCCTTACATCGAAGTTGACCAGAAGATCCCCATTCCTCTCAGGCCACCTTGCACGCGGTAAGGGGTTGTTGTGACTTTCGGGTCTTACGCACGTCTTTGGTTCAGGTTTTGGGGTTCTACAGCCCCAACCCCTTGGTCAAGGGTTTTGGATTCTGAGTCTTGAGCCCTTGGTTCAGAGCTTTGTTTTTTCGGATCCTAGGTCTGTAGTCTGTGGATTAGGGCTCAGAGCGATGCGCGAGGCTACATTGTGATGTGTTAGGCGCCCTAGGTCAGACGCCGAAGTTGTTCCTCATTCGTCCTTCAACACAACAGCTCAGAATGGTGGGCAGACAACTTACATACACAAAGTTCCCCTAAGTTTTGTTCGGCATTTAGTGAGTTGCCTAATACCCAAGGACCCGCTCCTTGAGTAAAGCATGGTGTTAACGACGGTTTCACTGTCTGCTCTGCAAACTCTGCTCATCTAGTAGGTCTAGTAATGTACACCCCTGATTACTAAACCCCCTCCCTGAAAAGGGCAATAATAGGGATCCTAATATTAAGGCCCTTGAAAGGAGGGGGGTTATCAATCACGGGTCTACAGTAGGCTCGTAGATGTTTGCATTGTGAGGATCATAAGAGGAGTTGCTAAAGGGAATCGGAGGGAAGGGGCTTTGAGAGTGGCTCAGCCACATGCATCTCTCATCATGTAGGATATTTAGTAACTTAGTAGGCCAATGGCTCTGGTCCCCCCGCGGTTGTCTGTGCAAAAGTGCCAGAACTCTGGGACTAGCGCAACCGGTCACAAAGGTTTTTAGGCACGAGTGCTTAAGCTAAGGTCTGCGTAGCGCCTGCTCCACCGATATCTTGTGGTGAAGTCGCGCCAGTGGTTTTCTAAGCCTAGGGCTTCCCCATATGTGCTATAGTCTAAACTCCTAGTATCCCCCTTAATAACCCTTATAATAGTACCCTATAACGTCCCCGAAATAACTCCCTTTAAGGAGTTTAGAGGTAATATCCTAATA